ATATTGTTGCACTTTAGCAACTGAAAATTATGTATTTCTTCAAAGAAGATAATTTGGGGACATATTTTCCCACTATTTTCAATGTTGGGAAATATAAGAAAATTCAGAAATTAGAAACAAAAAACATAAGTAGGAGAAAACAATAATTTAGGTAAAAGAACCCAAACACCCTATTCTGACACTGCACTTTTGGCCATTGCATTTCAAATTGCTTTACAAACAAGATCATTGTGACAGGTGACAATTTTCTTGCATGGTTCTGTTGGCACAAGCACAGACCTGGGAGCACAGGTAATCTTTAAAAATTTCTCTTCTGTGATGCAAACATTTCCACCAGTATTTGTCAAAAATTTCTGGTCACTCAAACTTTATCCCTATTTTATTCATGTTCTATTCACATGTTCACCTTAAACCCTATATTCAGCATCTACAGCCATTTTCACATATCTCAAAAGTATTCATTTTAAAAATTGGATATTTACTTCATAAATTGAAAAAAAAAAAGAAATCTTTTCCACAATTTAGGGATGTTTTATGATTATCTGAATACCTCTCTATATTGCTTAAACCTACATTTATCAATATGCTTATGCTGTAATGATATGATGGGAAAGAAAAAAAAAATAAATTAAAATTACCACAGGAGTTGAGGATTTTTGTCTGGAAGAAAGAAAAATTAGCCTTTATTCAAAAAAGACGCAGTTACAAAACGATTAATTTTGGATCAGAACATATCATGAATTAGATATTTTTCTGTCCCAGCTGAGAGCAGTAATTGGAAAATCACAGTTTACACAAAAAAATAATTATTTTCTTATGATCTGCCTTTCTTTCATGAAGTCTTGCATCTCCATCACTCAGTTACAATCTGAGAGATTAGGGACTCAATATACACTAGATTAAAGGTCACCTATTATGACAGACAGGATTTAATTGCAATATTGACATAAATTCCTTATGAACCATAGGCTTAGAGCTGCCTGTACACATCCAGCATACTAAAAAGGGATGGAATATTCATTACTTGCACTATGGGAAAAAGCCTAGCAGGAGCCTAAAACCAGAGCGAACCTCCTTTTTTAAAAGAAGAAAATTAGGAAATGTTGGTGGTTTAAAAATTGCAGATTAAATCTTATTCCATTACAGAGAGTAAAAGTTAGCTTGATTGCACTGCTGTAAGAACTTCCTAAGGGAAATTAAACTTGATAATCTCAAGGTGTTTCCCAGAAGACACCGTGCATTCGGTAATGTTCATTATAGTCTGCAGAATACCAGCTAGAATTTCAAGTGAAGACTCCTAAGGTTTAATCAATATAGACATTCTGAATTGTTCACAGTATCAAGGTTTGATCATGAAACAAAGATGCAGAGAGAAGGAAGCCACGGTGCTTTAGGTGGATTTTTTTTTTCTGTATTAACTGGTGGGTTCACAGCAAAAGGTGAACAGTGACAGCCAAATCTCCAAAACAATTTTGGTCTCAATGTCATCAGTGCTTCCTTGGGCCTCGGGGACTTTGAAAGCTCTGCCTGCTTTCAGTGAATAATTCTTAAAACCAGGTAGCAAATGCTTTGGAGATTACTTGTTACAAGATTTAAAACCGATACATTACTTTTAAAAACAATCAAGAATTTAACTATTGAAAAAAAAACATACTTTAAATATTTCCTTCAGAAGATCATAGAGAATATGAAGATTTCAGTGGGGAAAAAAAAACCCAATAAACAATGAAAAATTAGCTGTCTACTAACTCTCCATGTTTTAAAGCAAGAAATAAAGGAATATAAAGCCTAAACCCATTTTGGTGCTTGTTATCATCTGGTGATATAGTCATAAAGAGCAAAGGACAGAAATGGCACATTAACAGTTCAAAGCACAAAGAAAATTAATCTTCAATTGTGATTAAATGACTTTGCAGCATCTGTGGGGTCTTTAGACATGAGAAATTGCCAAATTGCCAATTGCAAAAATAATCCAGCGGGTTTTGGAGCTGGTAAGGAAAAGCTGCCTAAGAACAAACGATTTCAGCTGAACTGACTCTCTTAAATCTTCAGTAACCTGGACAAAGATCAAGAGGGTTTTTTAGGGCTAAGGGAAGGACCTGGAATTTCAATCAAAGTGTGTCTGGAAATATTTTTTGAGTGAGCCAGGACAGGATTTATGGTTCTTGTCCATCTGGTGCTGGATAAGTGGCATCCATTCAGCACAGAAGAGAAATGTTGCCTTCTGATTTCACATGGGTACATATGTCTTCCCATCCCTTTGATATACAAGGGATACTCAAGCCTGAAAATTCAAACAGCTCTATCAATAAGAGCCTTGGAGATGGATATACATGAAATAAAAATTCTGAAGAGCATTGTGGTAAAAAAAATGTATTTCAGAGCCATTAACTTCTTGAGATAACTGCAGGGTTCATCCTATTTCAAAAAATTATTTGTTTTCTCTGCCATGGAACACGGTTCTGGTCTTTCCCTGACTCCTTAAGGAGGATCTGGAAGGTGAATTTTGGGTTTCAGACCATGAGGATAATCTCCAGTGCCTTCTGATGTGCTGGAAATAAAAGGGGTCCCTCCATTTTGTGCTTGGGTACTTTACCTGAATGCTTAAATGGAATTGAATAAAGTCAGCTTTAATGACTACATTACTCCCATTTTCTGAAGGATTAATTTAGTAATTTTTCATTTTAATTTAGGTAAAATATCTAAAAAGACTTAAAACGTATATTAAAACTTTATAATATTTGGATGAAGCTGATGTTAGGAATTTCCAAGACCTAGTCCTTGCTTGTCCTTTTCCTCTGACTTTGGATAAGAAAATTATGACTTGGATAATTAAGAAGTCTGAGCTACTTCAGAAAAGAAAGTATAAAATGTTCTGCTGAATCTTTCCGAGACAGCACAATTGGAACTGGGGGTCATTGTGCTCAAGAGAAAATAAATTCTGCTGAGCTGGACTCGAGAATAAGAAAAAGAAAATGAGTAACTGATGTTGAGGATCAGGAGGTAACCGTAGTTCTTGAACAGAGAAAGAGTTTTTTGTGTCTGTGAGAAGAGCCCACCTCATGTGGCATTTGAATTCCTTTGTTTGCTTCTCATGAATGTTGACCAACATTTTAATTGCTACTATGAGAAGATAGACCTTAAATGTGTGTGGTGTGCACATAAAAACCAATACAACAAAATGTTAAAAGGAAATATTTAGTCTCTATGAATTAAAAAAGAACCACACCTCCTTTATTGAATTGTTCGATATTCTAGTTCTATTTTTATTCTAGTCAAATGTACAAAATAATAAATTTCAGAGTTAATATCAGCCTCCTCCTTAGCTCATTTTTCATGTACTGATTCCATAGCTCATTTGTAAATGTGACCTGATCTGACATCCTGATGGAAATTACTGTTAAACAGATTAAAAAGGATGTGGTAACCTTATTTCTGTATTTGTCTCCTTTTCTTCTTTCCACTGCATCCAGGACATTATCTAACCATACCCTAGCACATTATCTTGTTTCTTACATTGGGAGTGCAAATTCAGATTATAAATGGTGACAGAATGTTTAAAATATGAATGCAGTGAATTCTAAGCTCACTTTATGATGAATAGCTTAGACATGGTCTTAGAGACTCTACAGGAGTTACTGACTTAGGCAATTACTCTTTTTAATCACTTTTAAGAATTGCTTGATGACTTAAAAAGCAATATAAACCAAAGCACCTCCATCAACCAACACCCCATTGTGGATTCCAAAAGTACTGAGGGATCAATTACAAGAGTATAGGTATGAAATCTAAAATCAATAACAGAATTAACTTGTTGAAAATGAATGTTTTGCTCCATTTCCTTTCCAGATGATGCTGTCAATACAATCTATGTAAAATAAAGCACCATAAATTTGGCAACCACTGGAATCTGGGATCTTCATTATCTCTACTGCATTGGGCTTGCAAGGTTTTGGTAGCAGGGGAGCTCATAAATTTCAGAATGGTTGGTTTCAAAGTCTTTTTTCATCTAGAAGTTCCAAGATTAAAACTTTTAAAATTTAGCTAACTGTAGATATACTCTGATGTTCCTTTGACCAGTTCATCCCAAGTAATGGGAGGAAGTTCTGGTGTTCTGTAAATCTCAGTGGAGAGGAAGTATTATCAACTGTGTCAAGTTCTGGAGTCTGTTACAGAAAAAAAAAATGGACTTTTTTATTTTTCAGTCAAAAAAATGGATATAAATATATTTAGATAAACTCTTTATGTGTTTGTTATAAAATTGTATTTATAAAAATGTTCCACATACACAAATAATATTTATATAGACACGTATATAAATACACTTATATTTACTTCTGTGTAAATGTGTTTAAATTTAAATATGTTATTTAACATTTGCCTTGGAGGAGTTTTGCTAAAATAGCTTTGTCATCACATCTTTGACTCCTTCAGCACAGTGCATGTCTCTGGCAGAGCTGGGATTTGACTCTAAATAAGAAGCTGACTTCCTTCCAGTTGGCAAGTAGATGAAGGAATAAATAATTCACATTGTGTTTCCTTCATGTTTGTTGATATTCCTGTCATTAGAGCTCATAAGTTTCTTTGAAGATTTTTTAAATATAAAACTTTAAACAAAGTTTCCATCTTTGACTGCCCAGTTGGAACCCAAGTCACTCTTTCAGGAGTTGCTCATCACTGCCAGGCAATGTGGGAGGCACTCTGAGAGAGCACCTAGAGCTGAGAAAATGGGACTGGGTGCGTGGGGAGAATTAAAAATGTGGTTTTGGTAGCAAACAGAGACAGGTGAGATCAGAATGAGGATATCTCAACAACAATTTGTGATCAGAACACTCTGAAAAAGTCTTGCAGAACTGAAAATGGGTTAAATCTGCTGAGAATTTTCTGTCAGCTTGTGTGTTAGCAGTTCACAAATGCTTTCTGCCTTAAACACTAACCCAGTAATTACTTCCAAAGCAAGATCACAGGGGAGCCTGTCTCCAAGAATAAACAGTACTTACAGAGTAAGAAGGGCTGAAATCAATGCTGAGATTTACATTGCCATCTTGAACTTTTACCTCCTCAGACATGTAGAACTTCAGGTTTAGCAAGCACATCCAATATTCATTTCTGAATAAAATAAATAATTTCTTCCTTCAGGGAAAGGTCAAATAAGTGGGTCAATGCCAAGCACACTCTCCACACACACATTTCTGATAGAGGAGGAACATTTGTTGTTGGACTTCAGGGTTAACTGGAAATGTTTTTAGTAATAGGATTGGTAAAAACATCTTCAAAATTGGTAACAAGTAAGAAAAATGAAACTAAAAGCCACCCTTGACTAAGTCTCTTACCATTAGCCTGGGAGGGAAATAAAAGGGAGTTGTTTTTTTCAGTACCCAACAAGTTGTGATTTATAACCTGCCTATACAATAGCATGGGAAACCACTCTGAAAGCAGCAAACCTTTCCCATTTCAAGGTACATTGAAGAAACTGTGGAGAGAAAGGAATTATTACATAAAAAATATTGAATATTATGGAAAAAAAAAACAACTTTTGAGTTTTTTTACCTGGGCTGATGTAAATTTGTAACATTTCATGGAGTTCCACTGGTTTAAGATGAGTGGTCAAAGTGACCTAGCACAACAAAAACAGTAGAAGCATTAATATTTTCACCTTCACTAGGAAGAAAAGAAAAAACTATTAAAAATATACATGTCTAGGACTACTCATTTTACCAGTTTAATCTCATAAATAACATTAAGCAATGGATCTACACGGTGATTGAGGGAAGGAATTGAGGAATTGATTTGACCCTTGGAAAATTCTGTCGCTATTGGCATATCTAAATCCATCTCTCTGCAAGTCTGGCACTCCAGACACAAAATGACCATTGTGAGTGATTTCCTGGCTTCAACTCCATAGGATGCTGCTTTTGAACAGATTAAAAATAACACATCAGTTTTCACAAGGAAGCAATCCAGAGCCATTCTGGGGCCTTTGGACCAACAGGCACAGCTCATTTCCACCCAGCTGAGCCCTCTGTGCCAAAGCTGGGCAGTCCCACCGCGCCTGCCTGCTGGAGGAGGGCTCCTTCCTGCCTGGGTTAATCCCCAACCTGCTCAAGTGTGGTTGAGTGGCTGCCACTCAGGTCCCAATGAGTGGAAAAGCTGACAGTTTTAACAATGGAGCAGCAGGAAGGGAAAATTCACGGGCTCCTGTGGATGCAGCCGTCACGCCCAACAGGCCAGCACAGGCACAGAGATTTTAGGAATACCCTAAAAATTCTAGGGATTTCTCCAGGCCTTGGATCCAGTGTGGACCACCACCTGTCAGAAGAGGGTTTTAGATGTGAAGGTGAAACTTCAAATACCTGTTATCCAGGTTAGATAGGCCTAGAGGGGAAAAACAACCCCCATTATCCTGCTGCAGCGAGCGCAGGCCTTGCTAATTATTATGACTGACATATCATAATTCAATAACTTCCTTTCTACATAAAATCAACCCTGCACCGTACAAAACCATCAGTGGGACTTACAAATGATTTCAAACTGGAAGAAAGCTTCAGTGCTGATCTAATTAGGCTCTGCTTCTCCCGGCTTTGGGAAGTGCAGAACAATCAGAGCACAGCAGGCACCAGCGCTGGATCCCCTCCCTCAGCGCGGCCTTGCACGCTCCGACGGACGGGGAGATCACCCTGGAGCAGCCGTGCAGCAGCTCCTCCGCCTCTCAAAGAGAAAATCTGCTTATAGGCCATTCTGGCTGCTTTGTGCCCAACTAGAACAAGCCAAAGCAGCTGTAGGTGCGGCCTGGAGAGGTGGAGGAAGGGTCCAGGAGAAGTTCAGAAGCTGTGATTGATGCACTAAAGGTGGCGAGTGGGATGTGTTACCTGTTTGCCCTGGAAGCCAGGAGGGACATCCATGTCCTGGGGGACACCAGGAACAGCAGCACAGCATGGGCAGGGAAGGGGGTTGTCCTCAGCTGGGGAGGCCTCACCTCGAGGGCTGGGGGAAGTTTTGAGCACCAAATTAAGAAAGAGATATAAAGTTGTGGGAGAGCATCCAAAGGAGGGCAGAGAGGATGGTGAAGGGCTGTGAGGAGAAGTGTGTGAGGAGCAGCTGAGGGTGCTGGGCTTGTCCAGCTGGAGAACAGGAGACTGAGAGAAGACTCACCACAATCACAACTCCCTCCTGAGGGGGAGAGGAGGGGCAGACACCAATCTCTGCTCTCTGTGACCAGGGACAGGACCCAAGGGAACGGCCTGAAGTTGTGACAGGGGAGGTTTAGGTTGGATATTTGAAGGTTCTTCCCCCACAGGGTGTTTGGGCACTGAACAGCTCTCCAGGGAATGGGCACAGCACCAAAGCTGCCAGAGTTCCAGGAGTGTTTGTACAACACTCTCACATGATGGGATTCCTGGAGTGTGCTGTGCCAAGAGCTGGACTCGATGGTTCTGGTCAGTTCCTTCCACCACAGGGTATTCTGTGATTCTATGAAGATCAGAGCATAGAGCTGGAAATCCCAGCTGTGCACTGTGGAGGAGAGAAAAGTATTAAATCAGTAGACACTGTAAAGAGAAAGAGAAGAGGCAGAATGCAGAGCAAGGGGTCACTGAGACAAAGATCACATGACAAAAAAATTGGAAGGATTAGGCCCAGAGGGAGGGGCAGACAAATCACAAGGAGTGAAATGAGAGAATGGAAAAAATCTCTCTAGGGCAAAGGAAAGGAGACTTACACAGTGAAGAGACAGGGAGGAAAAGAAAAATGAAAGAGCAAAAATGAATGAGTAGAACAGAAGTTATGGTTTTTCAGATTTTCATCCAGAAAAAAAGAAGGGGAGAAAAAGAAGAGCAATTAATAAAAGGAATGAGACAGTGGGGATGAAGGGAAGGACATGAAAGCCACATAAACCAGCACAAGGCACAAATGCTGGAAGAAACAAACACTCTCTCATTTATTCATACCTCTATATTTTATGTTATCTTCCTAGTAAGCATCCCAGAGCTCTATAGATAACTTATTTTTGGGGGATGGAAGGGTGTGGAGCAGGGAATGGGCTGGCAGCATGGTGGTGATGGTGGATTTACTTCAGCCCTTCTTCTAGAATTTCTGGTCATATATTTATTGGAATTACTCAAGGTAGTGATTCACACTTTTTTCAGAAATATCAATACTTTACGTGTTATTAAGGTAAAGTTATTAAGTTATGTGAATTTTTTCCTTAACTAAAAACCAAACTATTTTAAACCAGGACAGGAATAGAGAGAAAAAAATTATTAAAAACCCCCAACAAAACCAAACAAATGTGAGAAAATTCAAAGAGTTGTGAGGAAGGGATTGGTGTCATTTGTCAGGTCTTACCAGCAGACTGGAAATATTCAGCTCCTGTAGATCACCAAACACTTTTTGCTATTTGAATGACATGTGAAACAGAACAGGGGTGTGATTTGTCTTTCCTGAATATTGTATTAACACCTGAGTAACACTGCCTGGTGAAATAAATATAGAGGGAGATGGAAAAAAGGCATCCATTTAAAAATAATCTAAAATAATTCTCATATTGTTCAGATATTTTGTTGGAATTTTTAAGGCTCTGAAAAAACATTTTCAGTTCTCACTTTTACCCCTTTTCCTTTTACCAGTTTCTTTCTATCAGAACGATTTGTCAGAAAAAGAGAAAGTTCTTTGAAAGCAAGGACAGCACATCAGAAGATTTTATATCTTACTGTTAATCACTCTGACAGATGGACTTATAAACCCAGGGACCATTTTGATGAAAATCAGAGGTGAAAAATGCTATTAGCTTGTCCAGCAATGGATGCAATGCCTATTTGCATCCATTGATATTAATTTTGGATTCGTATTTATGCTTATTTCTACCTGTCCATTTCCAGGGCAGTTCTAGAACACCCAGAGCACGGCTCACATGTTGTTGTGTCACCCAGTATCACATCCTGGGCTTTTATTGGATTTTTTTTTTCCTTCAGCAAGTATTTGCTCTTGATGCTTAATTCAAAAGCTTCTTGATTCTGTGCTGAGAATAAAAATACAGAATTGGTTCTCCAATTAGCAAACATTTTCAGCTGCAAAACTATCAAATCAATACCATATCCTCAGCAATCATTTTACTTACAAAAGCGTGATTTTTTTTTTTTTTCCGAGAGCTCTCAATGCCCATTTCTTGGCTAATTAGCTGCCTGTCTGCCTTATCCAAGTGGCAGAGTTTAATTCCAAAATTAAAGGCTGGAAAAACCCATGAAAAAGACCTCCAAAAGCAAATGACTTGCATTCAAACAAAAATAAATAATCAGTGCGGCCCTTTCTCCTATGAAAGATTTCTTGTGCAAATCAAAATTCAACGATTAAGGAAATTTTGGAGGACACTGCTCTAGTGATGTTCTGCTCTTTCATACTGTTTAGCCTCACTTTGCCTCCCCTGAAGCACCTTGAATGAAGGCAATGAATAGCAGCAATTATGTTAAAGTATAAGTACTGTGCATGTTTATAGCTACAAGAAAAAGCTGCTCAGCCACAGCTGCCTCAGCAAACGTTCTTACAGATTTTGACAGAGTTTTCAGTCACTCCATCAGTTGGAAAGCAACTTGTTTTACTTGAATGAGGAGATTCTATCCTTTTGTTCTTCAGCAGTCCTGGTGCAGTGGCCAGTTGTTATTTTTACTCTGCAAGGAGCACAACAGAGTGAGAACAGTAGTTAAGTCCTCTGATGATGGTTAAATTAATTGCTTCTAATGTCACATACTGCAGTTTCCAGCTCGGTTTGATTGAATGAAGGGTTCTAACCCCACATTTTCACCCTGCCTGTGCACTGGTTGAGGATGGACTGCATGAATTCATGTCAGGGCAATCCATTAAGGATTCCTAAATGCATGGATATGCACAGAAATACCAGCCAGGGAGCAGCAACAGTCTGGGAGAGTAATAGAGGGAATAGCCACAGCGAGATTGCTCTGTGTCTGCTGATAGCATATCAAAGGGCTGCCTGAACAGATTGTGCTGTCTGGCCAAGAACTTCCTGAGGCTTTTTAGATAACTTAGTGCACTACTCCGTGTTTTTGGCAGAATGATCTCTTCTACAGTAACGAGCTGTGTTTAGAGGGTAGCCTCTGTTTATTTTCAGGGATAAAATAAAGCAGCAGCTCTATTTGTATCATTGGATTCTTTCAGTTTTGCAGTAGGTTTTTTTTCCCCCAGTCTTGGTTACCAATATGAATAACTTGGTCCAGATTTACAGCGGCAGTTAAGCATCCAGCTTGGTGATGGATGATATTTTCAAAAGTGAATTACATGGATAATGCACTAAATTCAGAATAAACTCACTGTCCTAAACATGGGGTTTCTGATGATCCTGTCAGCATTTATCTGTATCTTTGATGCCTAAACATCTCCGTTGATCTAATCTTTCATTTAGGCTTTACTAGAAGCAGAAAATTCATTCCTCTGCAACTTTTCTGTGTTATCTCAAGGATGCAGTGAAATGTCCAACACAATCTGAGAAACACACATAGCAAGCAGCAGGGAATTCAACAAACCTTACTCTGTAGGCTACCTCATTTAGGCACATTACTATCACTGGGCTAGAACATTGTATTTTTTAGCTCATGCATCTTTTCCTGCTCAGGAAGTAAACAAGCAGGAAAACTTACAGTAAAACATGGGAAGGGGGTTGGAACTGAATGATCTTGAAGGTGCCTCCAAACCCAAATCTCTGATTCTGTGATTTGAATTTTTCCTCTTTTTTTTGGTTATAAAAATACACTCTTTTACTTTATTGGAAAATGACCGTATATCGCCATATATGACCATAATCATATTGTGATTCCATCACAGAATAAGAAATTTTCCCTGCCCAAAGAGGTAAATGGACACCTAGAAGTTCTGTATGTTTATTTTACTGAAACAACAGCATTTTGTAACATGGGTCGAAATCCCAGAGCCACAATCTGCACTTTCTTAAATATCTGAACCAGGGGGAAGGGTGAGTTGCTTTCTTTGTAGGAAGATGATTAATGAATTCTTGACAGTAATAAAGAAGCAGACATCTTGGAAATATTATTATGGATCACATATCATTTCAAACAGCAAGTCTGCCTCCCTAAAACATTTTATTTGTTATATTGTGCAAATCGATTGTAATTTGCTACTGGCTTCTTTTCAAATATGTTTCTTCATCGCTGCCTTGGTAAATAATAAATCACACTAACTATTGCTTCAAAATTGAGTGTTCCAATTTAGTTATGAATGGTGAAAGCAGAGGTACTTCAGGGTATAAAATCTTTTAGCAGTTCATAGAAAAATAGTTTCTTAAGGATAATCACATCAAAAATCATTAGAGACAGGCTAGACCATACTGGTGCCCGTGCCTCTGTGGCTGAAGGCAGCCTGGAAAACACTGACAAAGTTATGCCAAATGAAATATTTTCTTCATATTTGTCTTCAGACATAAATCAGAAATGTATATAGATATTTGCTTCTTCCAGATTACCAATTTGTGCTTTGTATAACAAAAAAGATTTGTTTCTCATGCTCGGTATGGACAAGTTATGCTTCTCATATATGAAATAAACCTGAGAGAACAAAAACGATAAAATGATTTTACAAAGGAACAAAAATGATTCTATAAAGTTAGTAGACATTGACAGGTCAAGTACATCTCTGAAATCTAATGGATAATTTGTATTAAGATGCACTATTCATTTTTGTTTTCTTGCCTGGTATTTCCTGATCTTAACTTCAAGACTCAACAAACATTTATGCATTCAAAACACACAGTCATTGAGAATTTTTATATGATTCCCAGAGAAAATATGCACTATTTCTTAAGTGTTAGATTTCTCTTTTAAGCTACTTATCCT